TCTTCTATGATATTACAGCCAACATTGATTGATTAACTTGAGGAAAAGCCGTTTGATCTTAATGCAATTGGCAGATGTTTTTATCCAAAGCAACTTGCATATTGTCATTTCAAAATTTTGGGGTTAGTTAAATTTTTTTTTTTAAAGAAATTAGTATTTTTATTCAGCAAGGATTCATTAAATTGATCAGAAGTGACCGTAAATATATTCATGATGTTAGAACATTTCTCAATTAATCAGCATATTAGAATGATTACTGAAGGATCATATGACACTGATGACTGGAGAAACTGCAAAATTCTTTGCATCATTGAAATAAATTATATTTTACAATATATTCAAATAGAAAACAGATATTTCAAATGGTAATAATATTTCACATTTTTACTGTTTTTACAATATTTTTGATCAAATAAATGCAGCCTTTGTGAGCAGAAGAGACTTCATTCAAACGGTAGTGTGCATTTGATCAGTTCCCGCATTTTGTGGTATTTAATATGACTTTATAAACAGTGGAAAATTAATTATTGATCATATTCAGTTGTCATAAAACGATGGACAAAAACAATAATGTGCAGTTTTGGCCTGTTTGATATTAATAATATCCTTTAAATATTAAATCACTAAAATTTCCCATTAATTTGATTATTTTATGGTTTTTTTTATTAGAAAAGATATACATATTAATATGCATTTTTATTGTATATATTCTACATACTAATGTTTATGCATATTAATGACTTCAAAACTGCCATTTGTCCAGTTGTAAGGTGCTCATATTGTCACCGATACCTGTCTAGCACTGTCTTTGTTGTTTGTTTCGCCCGTCATGTTTGGTGAAGCTTTAAATATGAAACTCACAAAAAAAAGTCTTTGTTGAAGAACACGAGTCGGTTTGATTTCATGGAGAGGCTGCTGCTGTTGGCTACATTAGTAACCATGGTAACTGGATTGTAATTGGATTGCACTTTCATTCCCATAGAAAACAGAGCGAAACATTGAGGGACTGGATGAAAATGCAGCAGTGTCCTCAAGCAATGCGTATGCATGGGAATCATATTTCTTTGTTTACAGCAATACATTTGTTTATCATTAGGTACTCACTTTCATTTCAAACTTGTATGGAGCTCAGCAACTGTGCTAGCAACCACCCATAATCACCCGTAAATTATTAGATTGTCTCATCACATTTTTTCAAAATAATATAAAAACAATAATTGAAATATTTTTAGTATTAAATAGAATGTATATTTTAAATGTGATTTTTGTCTCTTTATTAATATTAATATTAATAATGTAGTATTAATAATAATGACATACTGTTAGTGTTATTTTAAAGGGGTCCTATTATGCTCTTTTACAAAGTCTAGATTTTGTTTTGGGGGTGTACTAGAGCAGGTTCTCATACTAGGTTGTTCTAAAAACACATTTTCCAAATATTTTACATTATTACAACACCTCTCTCCCCAGTCTGACATGAACGGCTCGAATAGTTCCTGTATCAAATGAAGGCCCGCCTTCTGAAATACAAAATGTGCTGTGATTGGTTAGCTGGGCCAGTGTGTGTTGTGATTGGTTAGCTGGGCCAGTGTGTGTTG